CGCGCCCTAGGCGGCGCCAACGCTGCGTGCGCCGGCGCAGGCGAGCTGGCCCGTGTTCGTGCAGCCCGGGGCGGGCGGCACAGGAGACCCGAAAGAGCCGCTGCTCCGAGCTGCGGGACCCGGTGCGCGACGCGTGCCAGCCCTGCTGCCCGTCCTTGTGTCCGTCCTCACTTTTTTTTTTTCCCGGTACCGGAAATCGAACTCACGACCTCGCGCTTGCCAGGCAGGCTCTGTGCCGCTGAGCTAAATCCCCAGCCCCGTCCCCACTTCCTCAAGCTTAGTCTCCCGTGGGGGGCGGGCGAGCCTGGGGAGGAAACCCGACATTGCCCTTGCGCCCCTTCCCTGGGGGTGTGCTAGCCTGAGGTCCGGCACTTTGCGGGTCTCCCGCCACTCAGCCCCAGCCGTTGCCACTCAACGCCCTTTGTTTTGCAGTGCGCATCCCGGGACGACTGGCGCTGTGCGCGCTCCATGCACGAGTTCTCCGCCAAGGATATTGACGGGCACATGGTCAGCCTGGACAAATACAAGTGAGTGCCTGCCCATCGGGGGTGCCAGGGCCACGGGGTGGGGCGAGCTGGCCTCCTCCGACTGCCACCCGTCCCCTTGTCCCTAGGGGCTTCGTGTGCATTGTCACCAATGTGGCCTCCGAATGAGGCAAAACCGAAGTAAACTACACTCAGTTTGTCGACCTGCACGCGCGGTACGCTGAGTGTGGCCTGCGCATCCTGGCCTTCCCTTGCAACCAGTTCGGGAAGCAGGTGCGTGCTGGAGGCGAGCGAGGGGACACGGAGAGGAGGCAGGGGCTGTCGTGTTCCCTCCCAACCCCGCCTTTGTCCCTGCGTTCCTCTCCCAGGAGCCAGGGACTAATGAGGAGATCAAGCAGTTTGCTGCTAGCTACAACGTCAAGTTTGATATGTTCAGCAAGATCTGTGTGAATGGGGACGACGCCCACCCGCTGTGGAAGTGGATGAAAGTTCAGCCCAAGGGGAAGGGGATGCTGGGAAAGTGAGTGCCCTGGGGTGGTGGGTGGCCTGGCCCCTGGGATTGGGGCAGCAGCTTGCTCAGACTCTTCTTTGTGTTACAGTGCCATCAAATGGAACTTCACCAAGGTAAGAGCTTGCTGGCAGGAGAGGTGGGTAGGTGGGGGTCCCACCTGTCCTGGGGACCTCTTGGCCTCCCTTAATGTATTCCTTCTCTCTCAGTTTCTCATCGACAAGAATGGCTGTGTGGTGAAGCGGTATGGCCCTATGGAGGAGCCCATGGTAGGTGCCTCCCCAGAGAGGTTGGGACCCCTGGTGAGAGGACACCCCCTGATGCCCCTCTCCCTGCAGGTGATAGAGAAAGACCTGACCTGCTACCTGTAGCCCCACACTTGCGCCCTGCTGAGCCCTCGCCCGCCCCGAGCCTCCTACCCGGCACCATGATGGCCTGCCTGCAAACCAGCGTGCTGGTAGGGCAGACCTGAGGACGCGTGCACCGCCGGAGGGAGGACCGGCCACGGCCTGGGCTTGGCTCCCACCCTTGTTGCCTTGTGGGAATAAACACAGAAGCGGGCAGCTGTGTCCTTCTCTTTGGCATGGAGGGGGCTCCCTGGGGTTGGAGGGCTGTGCTTGCCCCTGTGCCTGGCAGATCTGGGTCAGCTGGTCACAAGGTTGTGCTGATCCCTTGGACAGGCAAGGTGTGAGCAGAGGAGATAATGCGGTAAGCGGCTGATTCCCCACTAGGCCAGGCCTGGGAAGCTGCTGCAGAGGTGCTGAGGGCTCCCATCCTTTCATATCTTAGAAGCCGGTGACAAGAGTGTGTGTGTGTGGGGGGGCGGTCAAGGTCTGGCCTGGTGTGAGTGGTAAGTCCCTTAGTGTTTGGGGGTAGGGTGGTCACTGTTCAGATTGGTTTGTTTTATCTTTTTGAGACAGGGTCTCACTATGCAGTGCAGGCTGGCCTTGATCTCACTTTGTAGCCCAGTCTGGTCTTGAACTCGCAATGATCCTCCTGCCTCAGCCTCCCAATCGGTTGTTTTGTTTTTTTTGACACCCCCCCCCCCCCCCCGTACCGGGAGTTGAATTCACGACCTTGCACTTGCCAGGAAGGCGCTCTGCCACTGAGCTAAATCCCCAGCCCCTTGTTTTGTTTTTTGAGACAGGGTCTCACTGTGACTGTTAGTCCAGGCTGGCTTTGAACTTACTATGTAGACCAGGCTGGCCTTGAATTTGCAGCAATCCTCCTGCCTCAGCCTCTGGAACACTGGGAATACAAGTGTGCGCTACCACACCTGGCCAGATTTGTCTCCTGAGAGGGCGAGAGGTGGACTGTGGCCAGGGGGGTCTGCAGAGCTGAGCCCAGCTGCTCCCCATTCCACTAACTTGCAGTGCCCCCAGGGAGAGCAGAAGCTGGGCAGGGACCCTTGTGCCAAGGGAGGGGTTAGCATGGGGATCCTTGGTCCCCAGGAAGTGCCTCAGCTGATTCAGTCTCCTGTCATTACCCACCCACCACCACCACCGCCGCCAGACACCTGTGGTCTCTGTGCCCTGGAACCTCAGGGTGAAGTGGCCCCCAAATTTTGGGCTAGAGGTCAGCAGTGCCACAGGGCAGCAGGTCTGGTATTTAGGTTCCTGTTCTGCTTTGTGTCTAGATGTCCGTGTCCGTCCCCCCCATCCCCCCCCATCCTCATGTGCATGATCATAGGTGGGGCTTTTCGGAGGCAGCTAGATGGTGGATCTGGAGTGTCTGACCCTGGGATCAAGGGTGTGTGATTACTAAGTCCGTCCACTGATTGGATAACGGGAAGGCCCACCCAGGGTGTGAGCACTACCCATCCCCAGGGCATGCAGCCCGGGTAGACTATAAAGGACAGAAAGGGTTGCTGTCCTTGCTGCCTCCTGCCTGCTTGCTGTGATGCCCTCTGCTGTGCCGCCATCCCTCGGAGCCTGGCAACTATGAACTCAAACCTCTCCAAACTACACTACAATAAAGCTTCCCTCCCTTACCTTCAGGTGTTGGGTATTTTGTCTCGGCAAGAGGAGAAACACCGTTTCTGCCCACCCGGTGCCTAGACTCTGGGTCCTGTCGCTGGCTGGGACCAGCAGCTCGGGAAGTGCTGATGCGTTGGTAGTCAAAAGGCGAAGCTCTCAGTGTCGGGGTCCACAGGACGCACCCCAGCCCTCTTCAGTGTCTGCATAGTGTACCGAGAGGGGTGCATTCCCAGCCCACGGGTGCTGCCTGCAACCCTGACACCCCAGACCCCCACGTGACTGCAAGCTGGAGCAGCAGACTGGGAAGTAGGCAAAAGGGACATATATTTAAAAAGATTTCTTTACATATATACATTGGGGTTCATTATAAATACACATAGAAATCAGGGGCCACCCGCCGTGGGTTCGAGGTGGTGGGCGGGCAATAATTTAGGGCGCAGGGGAGGGGATTGCATATATTAACGGGGTCTGCTCCCCGCGGAGCCCCCGAAGCGGGGCCTGAGCACCGGGATTTCCTGAGTGAGCAGCTCCGACTCCGGCCTCCTCGGCTCCCGGGCAGCTCGGGGACACAGGCAGCGGCAGGCGTCCTGCCCCGGCCCGGAGGGCGCGCCCGCACCCCGGCTCCCGAGTGTCGGCTGGTGGCGGGGTCCGGAGGGAAAGGCACTGCGGCGCCTGCGCGCCTCCGCCATCCCAGAGAAGGGCGCGTGGCCACAGCCCGCGGAGCCGCCTAGGAGTTGGGGAAGGGCGGGCTGAAATGGATCACGCTCTGCCGCTCCGGGCCGGCCCCCGCCCCTGCCCCCGCGGCGCCCATCATCGGGCCGGGGGGCTCTGCGGGCGCCGTGTGCAGGGAGCGCAGCATGTCCTCCAGCACCTCCTTGAAGTTGATGTCGCAGCCCTGGTGGGCCAGGGCC